AATCGTTCGAGACTTACATAACAGAACTGAAACTGTTGGCGTGTAACTGCAACTTCAGCAACTGCACGCGAGACGCCTTGATACGTGATCGTATTGGCATTGGCATAAAGAAAGATGATCTCACGCGGCGGCTTCTGAAACAAAGGAAGCTATCTTTGGAACAATGTGTGGACGTCTGCTTGAGTGAAGCAAGGACGGCGCAGCAGTTCGAGAATGTGATAGCCGAAACAAACAACGATCTATGCGCGGTATCCCGAACCAGCAATAGTCCGCCCCAGACACTCGAAGGACAGGGTCCGAGTTGTCAGTTTTGCGGTCGTGTACATCCAAGAAGGAGATCTGCCCAGCTTGGGGTCGAAGGTGCACAAAATGTTCCAAGAAGAACCATTATGCTCGCTGTTGCAGATCCGCTAAGACTAGCCCAGTAGTCGAGAGCATCAACGAACAGTTACAAGAGTTTTCGCTAAGCAACTTGGAAAATCGTGGCGAACACAAGTGTGTTTTCGCGACGCTTTTGATTCGAGGATGACCGGTGCGCTTCCAACTGGGCTCAGGGGCTATCATCAACATCCTATCTGAGAAGCACTGTGTGGGAATGACATGTGACAGGATGCAGAATTGCCTCAGTATAAGGGAATGGTTCAAAGCTGCTGCCGAAAGGTACCGCCACGTTGAAGGCCACCAATCCAAAAAACGGCACAGAACACCAACTCGATTTCCTGATAGTCTCAGGAGACCTTATGCCCATTCTGGGAAATGATTGTATTCAGAATCTCGGTTTTGTCTCTTTTAACAATGAAAGTTTCGTCCATTCGCGTGAAGATAACATAGATATTGTTGACAGCTATCCAAGCGTGTTTGACGGAGTCATAGGGAGAGTCGAAGGGTGTGCTCATTTATTCTTCATCGAATCAGCTAAGCCGGTAGTGTTGCCGACCAGAAAGGTCTATGGCAAGATTTCTCCGCAATTCGCTGTCAATCGCGGTGTGCGACAGGGCTGCCCTATGTCCCTATTCCCCTTCAACTTCGCAATCGGAGACGTTCTGTCGAGTGCTCTAGAAGGTTTCCAACATTTTGGCCTATAGCTTCTACAGCGTGAGCGCGCCACCGACTTACATTATGCTGATGATATCGCCTTACTTGGTGACGATCTTTAGGGTATGTAACTCAATCTGGATTGTTTGGCGGTTGAAGCATCTAAGTATGGCATGAGCTTCGCCCCATGGAAGTGTAAAGTATTGCTCAAGAATTTCTTTCACCGGCTCCCGTGCTCACCCTCAAAGGTGCACAACTTGAACAGGTAGATAGTTTCGTCTACCTCGGGAGCTGTGTTTCTGCTGACGGCACTATCAACAAAGAAGTTTCTCTTCGTATCGCTAAAGCTCGATCAGCATTTGTCAATCTGAGGCACTTGTGGCGTCGTCGTGACGTCTCATTCTCACTAAAGGGCAGCGTTTACAGCGCACCAGTTCGCTCAGTATTGTTGTATGGGTGCGAGTCCTGGCCGATTCGCGTGGAAGAGATGCGTCGTCTTTCTGCCTTCGATAACGGTTGATTAAGGAGGATCGCTCGTGTTTGGTGGTAACATCGAGCTAACAGTAATGACATTCGACGTCGCATCTTGGGGAATGCGAGTATTCCCTTCAATAAAGTGGTTTTTTGCGCCATTTGAAATGGCTCAGTCACATCCTACGCATGGCATCTGAGCGTCTACCTCGTCGCGCTCTATTCGCTCGTCAAGGACCTGGTTGGATGCGACCAGACGGTGGTCAGGCTACCACATGGCGACAGCACATGAAATCGCTGACGTCGTGTCTAGCCGCTGTTGGACCCGTAGGTCTTTCAGGATGGGGACCCAAAGATGAGGAGCGCCAATGGCTTAACACTCCTGAAGACATAACCCGCAACCGGAATCAGTGGAAGAATTGTGTACAGAACTGTATTGATTCATAGGTCTAATATTTCAAACATTGAAAATGAGAAAAAAATAGAAAAATTGGTGTGTGAAAAACAAACTAAAAGTGTTTTGTTCCACCTTTTGTCAAAATGTCCCATTCTTCTTGCGGCATATTAGCTGAAGTTGGTTGCTCACATTCAACTACTACGCTATGATGATTATGACCCGATGACTTCCCCTTATCTGCTAATCTCCATGGTTTTTGTTGGCTCTATGTCAAGTTGCTAGACTGTTGAGAGTACATACATCCAATAGGACGAAACGATCATCCAGTGCTATCTTGGATGTGTGGTGGCTGTCTGTTCGAGTCTGGCTGTGACAAATCTTTTCAGTTAATGCCCTAGTGCTAATGTCGCTGCGATTTTATCCGAATCTGACTGTGTATTGTAAATGTGCACCTGTTAGGATAACACCTGTTCCAAAGAAGGAATCCCAAAGGTATCGTAAAATGGCATGTACACTGGTGATGTTGGAAATCTTCCAGATACTACTTGCCCTTCAGGTTTTCACACGCACCAATGCAAACGGTATATGGCTGGCGACATCCGGTTTCGGATTTGCCTGTCACTGTGGCCAGCCACAGAACGCCTGCGCCCACAAAGGGACTATGGGTGGCTTGCGCTGCACCACCCACAGCTTCAACCACACACCCCATATCCACTGTAAACCCGAAGGAATAAGACCGGGAGGCATGTGGATGGGAGCAACGTTTCATCAACGGAGCTGGCCCACACTCCTTCACAAGCACACTCTATTTGGGGAATCAAGCGCACATAAGGCGGTGGCTGGACTGTAGTCCGCTCCACACTGAGTGCATGGAACTACTATTTGATCCGAACACGGCCACAAGAACTGTGCACCCCGTCCTCTCCAGGAACGACCAGGTGTCTCCTGGAGCCAGTATGGACGAGGTAGTGGGTAATAGACAGGTAAGCGCCTTGTCAACATGCACATCAAGCGTAATCACACAGGGGATATCAAGCAACAGCCAATCACTTGAAACGACAAGATGAAATAAAATAAATCCAATAATGCATACAGATACGGTGGCATAACTCTTCGCTAAATTACCATATGAAGTAAGTTGGTTAGCAACGAATCAGCGATAAGGAAAAAATGTCCACAAGTTAATTAAACATGCTACAAACGTAACAAAGTTACCGAAAATAAGCGCAATGAGCGTAAGCAACGTGGCCAGTTAATAGGAGATTATTCAGGTAGGCAGAACAAACCAAATAAAGTGGAATGAAATTTATCCAGCTTAAAAAGACCTAGTTTAAGTGTATGTTGGTTTAGCCCAAGTGCGGTAAAGAAGCATCAAGAATGCAACATCAGCCCCAGCATGGGGCACAAAACGATATATACCAGTTCGCTTACAAACATAGCCGTTCCACACTGGATGCGGTGTCCTATTTTGTGCATTCTGTAGCATCTGCACTGGATGAAAATGGCGGGGTAGTTTGCCTCCTGGTCCTTGACTATACAGATGCTTTCGGTTGCGTTAACAGATTAATCCCAGTTCAATCAGTTTTCTGCAAATGGGGTTTCAACAAATGTTTGCGACTTGCTTAAAGACTACTTCACAAACCGCACTCAATTCGCCCAGATTAATGGAGCGGTCTTCTGCACTGTTCTCTAGTCGAGGTGTTTGACAGGGAGTCATCCTCTCACTTGCTCTATTTTCTTTATACATTGAAAAGTTCACCATACCATCGACTTCTTAAAATTGTCTAGATGAGCCCGTGCTTTGGTCCTCATCCCGATCCCTGATTGTGTGAACCCTTCGAAATGTTGTGACTTTACACTCTCGTTTCATCGAGCTGACAAGTTACAAGTTGTTTTGGATGCCACTTCGCCATTGGCAATGAGTGATCAGTTCATACGCAGATCGTTAAACATTAAATTCCTAGGAGTCTATTTATCCTGAAAGTTATCTTAGTCGATTCACATTGCCGAAACCTTTTCTGAGGTTAGACAGTTGTCACTTTATGATCCTTGACTTAGACTACTCTCAGTGCTCTATGATTTGATTTTTAGATCTGTGACTGCATGTATATTGCCACATTGGCTCTACCGTTCCCCTGTAATCTACTCTGGGCTACATATAAAGGACTATACACTGATTGTACGGTCCATGAAGCTTATTTCCAAATGCAGCGGATTGTCCAGAGAGTCCCTTGCAGATTTTATTATCAACAAACACCTGGACGTCTGTACCAAATTTTCCTCCAAAATTCTACACGACTCTCTTCATCCGCTACATTATGACCTGTCCAAAACATTATCTATTTTCTCTACCCGCTCCAAATTTAAGATTTCATTTTCACGTACTGCATCCTGCCGCAATTCAGTGCTACCGTACCTGCCCCGCTTGCGTGTTGACCCAACCAAAATTATCAGTAGGATGCGAAATTATTTACTCGAGTGATAAGTGTAGACATTTTTACGCCTTTCATTTTTTCCGTAACAGTAATTTCATATACACTATCTGCAGTGTTAGTGTAACATGTTGAAAATGCACCTACCCGGATGCATAAAGCCTACTTTGACTTGATTTGACTTCATTTGACTATCAGATCAGCGCTGAATCGCATGTGTTGCAGCTACTATGAAACGCAGTAGTTAAAAAAGCTGGAAATTCACTTGCGAGACTTCGTACGAATGCGTTCGTTTTAGCTGTGCAGCGGAACGGACCAAGCCGATAGTTAGTACCGTCAACCATTTGTATTCTGGTCACGGGAATGGAAATGAAGCAATCTAATTGGGGAAATTACTTGAAAGTCCAACGCCACCGGATTTCAGTGCGAAGTAGTTCAGCAAAGATGACGACTCCTCCATCTGGATCAACTTAGCGTGAGAACACCACCTCAAGTGAAAAGAGGAGACTCGGTTGGAATAAAGTTGATAAGGGTTCAATTGATTTTGTTGTCTGTTTCGGTCAATAATTTTGACAGGCAGACAGATCAGACATTCCTGCGGTGTCAGAAATGAAGTTGGTTCTATCTAGTTGAAGGCAAATAAAACGTTTCCCATTTGAACTTACTTCAAAATACCATGCGTAATTGACGTCGAGGAATGGAGAGCTACTGACTCTGCATGGAAGCAGTACAGTAGAATTCTGATATACCACACGGTTCATTGGACTGAGACGGAACTGCAACGATGGTATCACCGTGAGAAAAGCACTTGATCGGGCTTCACCAAGTGGGTTTGTGGCCACGCACGTGTATTCTCCAGCGTCCGAATCGACCAAATTCACGATGAGCAGGTTTCCGTTTGGGAGAGTGCATTGTTTGACGGAGCACTGTCGAAGGGAAAATCAGCCAGGAACAAGATCAAGTACAACAGTAATGCTACGAACAGTTAGTTGGGATGTGGCAGAATTTAAGACAAAATCATGTAAATTGAAGCCCATGGTAATGTAACTCATCGAAACCCAATGGACGAAGGAGGCAAACTGACACATGGATGGGAAACGAAATGGAACACGGAACCTCTGACAGTTGATGAATTTTCCAGAGCCCGAAAAAGATTGAACATACCTCGCAAATGGGAGTGAAACCTAGATGACGTCATCTAGTGTAACAACAGTTGGGTGATGGGTATGTAAGCATAAGAACGATACGGATTTACATGGCGAAGCAGGCGACTGGCTTTCCGCAAGCGAACAGAGCAGTTGATTAGACGCCTACGCATATTTCGCCTACGTGCTGATTGGTTCTTATTCGGCTACGCTGGATCGGGTTTGTTTAACTGATTCAAAAGAAGAATCTCATGAGTGCAGAGAGATCATCCGATAAACATCAACAACCGGGGTCAGATATTCCCAGCCTCCGCCAAGTACGTTTCTGCACTAGGGCTCACCAAACGTGATATATCCGACTTGTGTGTGTCTACCACGAGACGATCCCTTCAAGTTTACGACACCTGTATGCGAGGTGCAATGTCACAAATCATATCACACTAACACCGTACACTCACATGTTCGTGACCGATTCAGATCAATTTTGAGTCTTAAATGATTACTGTTTCATTATTACGCCAGGACATTTGTCCAATCTCGGCGAAGTTATGTAATGAGGGTATGCGGGTGTTCTGCGAGCTGGCTGGTTTGGCTGCAAACGTGTTATCGTCAGGCTAGACGACATCATGCCCAGGCCTTAGGCCATGCATGAATTTGCCGAAAACATATGTTCATGGACAATGACGTGCTTTAAAATGAACCAACCATTGGGACCTATTTGCATTCGGTGTCACGTCCGCTGCAGAGAAGAGAATGCGACAACAGAAAAAATGTCCCATAAGGCGTGATTCTCGCGGTCGTGATATAACTGAAATTTGCTTCAAAGGAATCTGTGCTCCAAATGGAGCATTGCGCATTACAATCAAAACCCACAGCTAGTAATCCAAAACCTTGAAAGTGGCCTTACTCAGTAAGCGAGGAAACATTGTGTATCTGAAACAGAAGTTCAAACAAACATATGATGTGATTTCAGTCCATGTCGAAATATATGTTAATTATATTCAAGCTAGTCAAACGTATCATGCCAAACTGTGCTCGTATGCAACCGAGCAACCTCAACAGACCCGTAAGCTTGTCTACAACGCTCTACTTACAGAGGCAGTTCCAGTCTCGGGATCCAAAGTACTAGTTCCAGGACTCAAGGCAGTCGAACCGTGATACCATTGCGTCGTTAGACTGGGTGCTCCTTCGGGCTGGCATTCCATGACGGCTGTACCGCCGACCATTCCTTCATTTGGCATCACTGGATGGGCGGCAAAAGAAGGAGCCAATTCGATCACTTTGAGCTCGGCGGATGAAGATTCGCTGCCCAAGTTGTTCCAGGCAAGGCAAGTGAACATAGCGGAATCGGTGAGTGAAGCCTTAAATGGATACGAAATTAGTAGATCCATGATGATGACCAAAACTTACAGGCAGTATCATTGTTTAGCAAGAAATCAAACGAATAGCATCTTCATTCGTGACCCAGGATGAACAGGCAACAAGAACACCTGTGTGCTCACATACCACTGGATAATTTGACTTACGTTCAATATCTGCAAGCTCGATCTAGTTGCGTTCGTTTGTGTAAGCGAATATCGCGTTGGATCCAGGCTCCCTGCTGCGATCAAATCCGACACGGAGAGATTATTGCGGTACCACTGGTGCTGTGGATCTGGGATGGCTGCAGCTTCACATGTGAGAACTATATCTGCCCCAACGTCGACGACGGTGTCTTGAAGAGGTGAAGTGAAATATGGTTTGGCCGTAATTCGAAGATTCAGCTTCTTCGGCATGGCTTTCTTACCCAGTGAATCTTCAACCTGGGGCCCAAAATATTTTCACATGTTACGAGTTGATGGTTTAAGGTCAGTACATTTTGTAAAGAAAGTGTCACAAGAAAAGTTGGGAAGGATGAAATCATAGCTTTCGAATAGAGCACCAAAATCGGAGATTTTCATATGGTTGTTCTGTGACATCTTTGCAAAGTACAGATTACGGGGATGGAAACTCCGCAAAGCTTCAAATGTAGACGACAAATATGAGACACATACGTAAAACTATGCTGCAATGGTCAACAGGCCTTGGGCCAAGCTCACAAGCCGAAATAGACCAAGATACATCAGTTGGGTTTCACATACATCCACTGCTCGTGTTCCAAACGTATAGCCTAAAGAGTATAACAAGTCCTGTTTATTACAGTAAGCTACCTTGGATAATGTCTGGGGTAAAAAGTGGGTGCTTGACAAGTCTCGTACGTTGGTTGGAGTGAAAACTAAAATGACAAGAGGATAAGTGATTCGATTTAACTGCATTGCTGCATTACGATACTTTGTAATGAGGATTTAATGTGCACACACAAGGCAATCTGGGAAGCAGTTAGTTCCTGTAATCCATGAGAAAAATTAATGCAAATGACAACGCTCACCCGTGTGCGGAATCCTTGTGCTGACGGGATATGTAAATCCAGTTTCCACAGCATCAGCGTTCAGTACATAATGAGTAGGATTATTTTAATGTTAGGTTGACGCCCGGACATAGAGGGTTATACGCCATATAATGTAGATGTATGGGTGTATCATCGAGTTTTTTTAAATACTGTCAGTGTGGAGGAAGAAACAACGTGAGTTGGAACAGCGTTCCATGAATGGTATAAGCGAAGTGAAAATAAATTACGGCGGCATTCCAATCTGCTATACTCTGTGGTCAGCTTTAGCTGGTGAGCTCTCAAAGGGGTTGTTAGATTCAGCTTCTGGAGATGACAACATGCATTTTTTAGATTCCTCAGCATCAAATATTACATTACCAAATCGCCACCCAAGCGTCGATAATGTCCACTGGAAACCCAAAGTGCTTTCAACCTCATTTGGAAAGGGATGTGAAACAGACCCTGTATGTTTTTGGTCCTCCTTCGTTGTGGCAGTTCAAGTGCAGTGAGACCATGCTTGAGACAAGGCTGCCAGAGGTGAATGGCATACTCTTAATAGGGATTACTGTAGACATTGAGCATCTGAGAAGTGATTGAAAGGTCAAAGCGCTCGGATGATCTCCGCCAAAGGCCAAGGTGTTGGTTATCTTTATGGACGTCTTCTCTCCATGACGTGAACAGAAAAGATCCCCTCGTACTCTCACACCTAAGAAGCATTCAGTAAAACTAGGTTTCAAAGCCTGATCCCTTGGCCTACACTATCAAGTGGATTGACAGTGTATGCTCAATGTCTTGGTGGCGCTGAAATAAAGTATATTTTCAGTTGCCCATTCGTATACCTTACCAATTCATCCTGAAGCGCTACGTGGTCACCTGTTGTGTTGTTAGGGTGCAATACCTTGAGATCAGAAGCAAAGATCGTTTAGCTAAATCTAGAATAGGCGTGGACCAAATATGAGCCCCGTGGCACACTGTACTGAACATCGATAGGGTCAGAGATGGCGCTGCGAACTCTCACATTCGTTGAATCAGGAAGTTACCCATCCAACCGAGAATTTGGTCACGAATTCCACAGCTCTGAAGCCTGTGAATTTGGATGCGGTGGTTAAGACGGTCGAACGTCTTTGAGAATTTCCAATAAACTGCGTCAACACCCACACCGCTGTCGACAATTTCAATCCAAATGGAGTGAGCAACTAGCAGGTTTGTGGTGCAAGACGGGTTCTGGTAGAAACCATGCTGTTCTAGTGCTGTAAATTTGCATCTATCCAAGTAATTAATGTGCACCTTGGTAACAATAGACTCCATGACTTTGGATAGCACTTGAAGGAATGTTGTCGTGGCTTCCAGACTTGTGAATCGGAGTTATGATTCTGTATTTCTACATTGCTGGAGTCCACATCTCCTCGAGACATCGTTGGTAAAACTGCGAAAGTGAGGTCGGCTCCTAGCCATATCAACAAGTGTATCCAGCCAAACATGTTCATCGTCTTTCGGACCCCAACCAGGGAGCCGAGACGTTCCAACCGAAGCCAGCTCCGAAGTGAGGGATTTCATTCCTCTCGACCAGATCATGGCTTGACCACCTTTCCTCTTCTTCCATCCACACTCTCGGCGCGCAAACAACGCAAGTCGCGGGAGCCGGTGAGTTGGCATGCGTAACACATGGCCCAGCCATCAGAGCCTGGTGCGTGAAATGACGGTGCTGAGTTGTTCATTTCCTTTTCCTGCGCCCTAAACAAGTCGTCGGACGCGCACGTTGCTCACGCGGTGTTCCCACCAGATGCGAGCCAAACTGAGAAAGCACCGGTGGTCGAACGTAACTCATCATCATCATCAACCGCAGTACATCAGCCATTTGAACTGATGCTTCGCTGCCATACAACCGTGAGGACCTATGAAATAAAGAATAAGAAGAGGGAGAGAAGGGGGACTTACCTGAAAACTTTAATGCCCTAAGCAAACATTCAGGGTCAAGGCGCCTACACCTTGTGTAGACAACATATCGGCACAAATAGCTGGCTATCGTGAAAAGCTTTTTTTATGTCCGCTGATCTAAGGGGTCAGGTTTCACAACCGTACAGTAGGGTCGAACGTACCGCTGCAGATACACACTACCCTTCAGCGCGGGAGTGATGTCGCGCAAGCGCCATAAGTGGCAAAGGTTAGCAAAAGCGATTGGAGCTTTTGCTATACGGTTCGTGACCCCATCTTCAATCCCATGGGCGCTGATATAATTTCCCAACGGAGCAACAAAGACACCCCAAGTGTGACAAGTATTATGTGGGTCAGACCGGAAGAAAGCTGCATGAACACAGCCTGGCCATCCGCCGTTACGATAAGAAATCGCTAATAGCAGTATGTATGATTGCCCAAAATCATCAGTTCGATGTGGAGAACGACGAGATACTTGGAAAGGAAACGAATTGTAGGGCAAGTGAGTTCATCTATGCATGGTATTCGGGTTGGAACTCAATCAAGGAGTACCAGGAGCTGGAGGATGGCTACGAAACTATGCAGGCCAATTCAGTAATAGATAACAAAGCGACGGGGAGAAGACATGACCACTCGGCCGACCCACGTCAGCCAATCGAAGGCAAACATTCAAAGCAGGAAGCGATCATCAGTCAATCAGGTCTAGCAGTGGCTTATGAGACTCCGCGGATCAGTAGTTGGTAGCCTCACCGAGGACGTTGCGGAGCTTGGAAAAAAGGTCTGCAACAGAAATGCTCAGCTCGGACAGGAAAACCTAGCTAAAAATGTATCTATCAGGGTAGATCCACTTTCACGCAGCACGATTCGAATGATAAGGAAATCACCATACACCGTTTCGTCAGAGCCCTCGATGTAAAACAGCAAAGCAAATTCTGCTTGCGTCGCAGGGGGCACAAATCTGAGTATTAATCACGGATAAGAATTGTTCACCTTTGGTCTTACGTTCTTGACACTACCCGACCAAGGTGAACCGAAGGCAGCCTAAACTGTGTTTGTTAGTATGCGTCTGACATCACTTGGAGGGAACAGGTACAACGTGCGCCCATTGCATTGCTGTCTGGAGTGAGCTCCAGACAGGCATGCGAGGAAATAAGAAACACTACTCTGTTTTAGAAAGTAGCGTAACAATACCAATAACTTCACCCAGCTAAGCACTACCTAAGTAGCGCAGGAGGAATTTCCGCTGCCCAGTCAAACTCGGAAAACCTCGACAGTTGAATGTGGCAGTAGTAGAACTGTCACAATTCCTGTGTGAGGCAGACGAAATGTACTGACGCTTCAAATTCCTGTTTGGTGGAAAAGTAATCCTGCACGTCATTCTGGTCTCACGGATCAGTTGTCAAGAGTCCTACAGAAGACACTAAGTGTACAGAGCTGCAGTTCCTACTGATGCAATGAAAATAGAATCGCTCGTCGTTAATGTCACAATGCTATCGCTCTCATCATTACTCTTGTGTGGTAAGCAGTTCCATACTAGCAAAATTTATCCAAGATGATGCAGACTGTGAGAAGACATGAAGTTTCAGCGTATTCACCTCAATCAAAAATGGAACCAGTATCTCTTCCAAAAATCATATCGTGTAAGTTCGATTGAAAGCTGGTCGATAGCTAGCTGCTTCGCTTCGTTCAATCATGAAAAGCTTGAAATCATTGTCGTGAGCGTTCGCACTCAGAGTGACTATCACTTCGGTTGATAATCATTTCCTCAGATAACCACCAACATGCTACTACAGATCAAGCGTGAGAACAGGAAATTATGCATAACGGCTAATATCTTGGCCTGTGTTGCATAAATGCCGCACGAAGGTAAAGGAATCCCTACTTACGGATTAGCCCACTTACTTCACCCAGGATGGTCCTCGTCAGGGTATCCGTTCAGCAAATCTTCTTCCTAGGTTACTTCAAGAGACCGAATATAGATATCTCGGCTGCTTCATCCGTAGCTGTAAAAATACCGGGTCAATCACCTCTCTATCATCGCCGATTTCACCAAACGCATTCGCAGTGGTATCATCGACATGAGCGAACGCAGTTCAACAGTGTTGTAAGCTTCCATGGAAGAAGCGACTATGCTTTTTGATGATGTCCATGACGCTTAGCCGTCTTGTTGCCGAAAGCCATTACCTAGTGTACTTGACAGTTCCCAAAAACCGCAGCACGTAACAACAGGGGCATATATCAAGAATACAAATTGTTCGGTCTCGACAGAACAATGCCTAGACAGGACAGCGTTAGTGCTGTATTGCAAGGATGTTTTGAATGTGAGGACATCGAATAATCTAGCTGCTTTACGATAACGCGAGTGCTGCTAGAGCAATCTGGCAGTCTTATGGGCAGTACATCTGGAAATATAACACACATGTCACGCACAAACTTACATATGCTGCTAGCGTTTGGGTC